AGCTGGGAAGGCAGGTGAATTAAACAGAGACTCATTTTATTGTTTTCCTGGCCTGTTAAGCATGCAGCATGGCAAAGCCTGAACCCACCCCTCCTCCTGACTGTCCTCTGTGCATTTCAGAGCCAGGTAGGAGGAGGACACAACCCACCCTGTCAGGTGGGGTTGTAGAAGGTCAAATGAACCAGTGATGTTCTCCTTTGCTTGTATCTCAGAACACATCAAAGGGATAAAATTGGGAATCTATTCACTATGAAGCAAATTCTAGCTCTTTTCTGCCTAACTGCTCCCCTCACCACCCCTCTTTGGCTGCTGTGTGCTGCTGAGGGGGTGACCCTGGGCTGTTGCTGGGCTCAGGGTCTGCTCAAAGCCTGCTGGCCCTCCCACCTTGGCTGTGCTGGCACACTCAGCTCTGCAGCCCTGCAGGGGGAACAACTGCACCTGAAACCAGGTCACCAACCTGCTGGGAAGTCCCAGAACCAGCACTGTGCTTGTCACAGCAGTGCTCCAGCTCACGATCCCCCTGAACACCTCCTACTGATGAACTTCTCTCGTCTCTACACCGATTCCTGGGGCAGCAGCCTGACAGACAAACCTGCAAACCACTTCAAAAGCACTCGCCACATTTGTTTTTCCAGGCTGAAGCAAGAAGAAAGTGCTTTAAAGTCTGGTCCCAGTTGTAAGTGGGAACTTTAAAGCAGAGCAAGGTCCACCTCTAAGGGTGCTTTACTTAAAGCACTGAGAGGGACAAAACAGGAGAGGCTTCCCTGGCTCTCTGTAGGGCACAGTGCAGCTGGGGGCTCCCATGGCAAGTCCTGGCATGGCTCTGGGGATGCTGTGCTCCCCGGGACAGCCACACACCAGCTCTGCCTGGACAGCTGGAATGCACTTTGTCAGGGCAATTGTCAGCCCTTCCCACTCCTAAAAGCCGTCTGACTGCAGGAAATCTCACACAAACAGAATCCTCTCTCCGGCTCAAGCTGCCAAGGAGGGTGCAGAGCAGGAGAAGGGATTTGGGTTTCCTTTGGGTTGGATTTTGTCATGCATTCTGAAAGGGACTGGTAGGATATCACCAACGACATCAGGATCTCCCAAAATGCATTTGGAAAAGGCACATATACAATAAAGCATATACCTTACTACACAATACCATATATATATAAATATACTTTCTCAAGCTCTCCAGCTGCCCCAGACCACAGGCCAACAAGTTTTGTTTTTAAATGCTATTAAGCTAAGCTAAGATGTGAATTACTAGCAGAAAAGCCAATTTCCTCACCCTTTTCCTAAAATTCCACAGATTCTGGCAGCCTCCCTCCTCCCCCCTCATTACATTATAAAGCACAGCAAGAGTTAAGGAAAGGAATTTATCCAGAGAAGGAACTGTGTCTCTGTATCTCCTGCCCTTGGCTGAAATAAGCACCTTTGCTGCAATTATTCCAAAGTTTCTTTCTGGAAGAAGGAGTGTCTGTTGTCTGGCTTCTTTCAAATCAGAACAAGCTAGCCCAGGACCCGGGCAACAGTAATAATGCCCCATGAAAGCCCAGTTTTGAAGGGTTGGGTTTCATTACTGACCTCTTGCCTGACAGCATAAATTTAGGGAAGCCCTTATAAACAGAAAGAAATTTGGAAACTCTGACAATTGAGAATTTCTTCACCTTGCAGTAAACATACTTTAGGCCAACTACTTTGTGGGCTAGGTCCTCACATTGTAGAAACCAGTATCACTAAAAATTAGACCAATTAACCCATTTACAATCTTCCACTCTACTACAGACCACTACAGGTTAATGCCTAGACACCCTTCACATCACATCATAGATGAAAGCACTTTTTAAGGAGAATAAAATTATTTGAATCCCATAAATTACTGAGTAAAGAGCAGGCTTTACTGAAAAATGCAATATATTTTGATGTGCACTCCTAACTGATTACAAAGAGAGGTGGCTGTAAAATTCATCAGTCAAAACTGCAGATATATAGATAATGCCCTTTGCTCCAAGGCTATGGATCATACCAAGAGCAGAATAAGCAGTCACACTTCTCTTTAAATTAATAGGCTTGTAATCCTCTAAACCGAGTGCACAGTTTTTTGGGTGTTTTTAAATGAAAATGGGGAATGCTCACAGGAAGACAATTCTAAATTTGCAAACATACATTTCTAACCAGAAACCTGATTCCAAGAATTTCAAAGGAGTCCAATAAAAATCAGCCAGGTTCGATTTCCAGCACCAAATGCTCAGAACAAACGGATTTGGAGGCCAAGGATTAGCTACTGAAATTCCTAGTACACTAAGAATGACTAATGAACTTGACGAAACTCAAGAGCTTTTCTAAGAAATCCAATTCTTGCAGAGAGCAAGCAAGAAAAAACACCCAAAGAAATCTCTGCTGCCCCATTTTGCTCACTTTTGTGAAGCAACAAACTGCATTACATAAAGCTCTCTAATAATTTTCAGTAGGAATTGAATTCTAAAGTACATGTTCTTTCAAAATTTTGTTCAAAATTTGAACTAGAATTTAATCTTTCTTCTCTTCCTAACTCTAGGATAAAACTCTTCAGTGACTGTTTAGAAAAGGATATTGATAATAAAAAATTAATGTGACCCCTCAAGTTTCTTCCTCTCCAAAAAAAGTAGTTTCCATAAGATAACTCCCCAGTGCCTCCCCAGTTCCCTGTGCCCATCACACCAGGACATACAGATGTCACCTGCTACTGTTAGATCAAGAAGTTGGACTTAACTGAAGCCAGGTCCAAAATGAGTGGGCCTCCCCATGTGATCCTTTAAACATCTCCAGAATCCACCCTAGCAGAGATACCAGTGAGTCATCAGTGAACCAAAGTGCACACTAAGGAACTGCAGATGGAATTGCAGCCAGCTGATGTGTGGATACACAAGAGATTCTCTCTCTACCTTTCCCGTATTCCGGTGCTTTCCCAAACAAAGGCAGAAATTTTAAACACTTTTCCCCTAGTGTTAGCTATTCCAAGAAACCACAGCCCAATGCTCTTTCACTGACCACAGAGGGGAGAACGGAGTGGTTCCCCCAGAGATTGAAAGGATTTGCTGGCAACCTTTCTCTCTAACTTGAGCATGTTTTTTTCTGGAGGCCCAGCAACCCTCAAGGCCCAAGAACTTTTCCCTTTCCACTTTGCTCTTAAAAGACCTTTCCTGCCCCAGCAAATCACAACCACTTTTTTCTTTTCTGAATTTCCAGGCACCTCCTGACACAAAGCCCACCTCCCTAACTGCAGAGAATCAGCCACATGGAATAAAAGAGATGGCCTCCAGCATCTCCCTGCTTTTCTCCTGCACAAACTCTTTTCACTGCACCAGGCACAGGACAATGAGAATGGCTCATTTGCCACAGTTTCCTCTATATTAGGGTGAAGAAAGAAGGAGGGGGAGGAACCCAATGACATTAAGAACAATGTTGGGAATAGATCTTTAAATCTGTCTCTCCAAAGCCTGCATATTCCCAGCCTTGATAGGTCTCACATTACACAAGATGACATTTCTCTCCATATTGTATTATAATTAATAGGCTACTGCAAGACTTTACCAGCTCCTACTTAATAGCATTGCAGTGCTGGGAAGCAGTCATCAGGTAATCTGGCCATGATCTACTGTATTCTTTCTAAACACAGGTTCTAGCTGCCAAGAATGTCACCATAAAAAGATTTCAATCAATACCACTCAGCTCCTACTTTCAAATGCTCCAGGTCTAGGAAGAGAAGAAGAAAAAAACCCAGTACCCTCAAAACGAACAGCAAACTGGCATATGCATCAAGTGCACAGATTGGAGGGAGCAGATGGGAATTCATTATGGCCTGATCTTGCTCTCTCTTTTATACTTTAGTAACTTTCTCCTTTGGAAAAGGTCTCCCCATGTGTGCGGAGGGGGTTAAACCCATCCAGATCTCTCCATTCTCAAGCTGTGCTCTTGTTGCCAAACAACAACATTTCAATTGTGATTGGTACAAACAGTTGGGTTTCAGTGGCAATCTGGCCCGTAGGTTTAAGCCCAGTTTTTACTGATGCAATTTGTTTGGTGGTTGCTGGCTTTGTTATTTACTGAGAGAGAAAGAAAGGAAGCAAAACAGATCAGTGGACTTGCTTTCTTGTCCAGTCTGTAGGTCAAGGACTCTCTCTGGAGTGTGTTTCTCCATTTGCTTTCTCTACAGGGAAATTAATAAATTAGGAAAAAAAGGGAAATCTTTAAGTCCAAATCAATGCACAGCACCTACATCTCCACTTATCCCTTTCTGAAGAAGTAGGGAAGGTTGTATGTGACCTATTGGTTTGCTGGGCTTCTGTGCTCACCAGGAGCCAAGGCTATCCAGCAAAACCTGCTAATACTTTGACCCCTAAGTTAAGCACAATTGATGACATACAAACAAAAGGAAATCAGTGGTTCAGCAAATTAGTAAGTAAGAAGTCAACAAGAGAAAAAACAGTCAAGGTTCAGATCCTGATGTAACTGAAGTACTTGGGACAGTTCCATTAAATTCAATGGAGCCAAAAGGATTAATGCTGGCCAAGGATCTGGCTCCTAAAGCTTTCCCAGCTGCAAGTCTTAGTTTAGGCTGTTGCCAAGAGGTTAACACTGTGATAGTAGAATGAGAAAGTATTTACATAATTATATATCTATATATACCTATATTTAAAGAACACTTTTCTACTAGTACTTTTGTCATTTTTAAATCCATAATTTTAACCCAAAAGTATTTCAGAAGAGCAGCAGAACCTCTTGAGTAAACTACAGATTCTTACCCACTCCTAGGCCACTTACTGTCCTAGAAGCAAGTTTAAATGTTATTTCTAAATGCTCTTTCTTAAAACTTAGGGTGCAACTAAAGAAATAAGGCTCCCAAGGGTCTCTAAGAAGCCAGTGAGACAACACACAGGCATGGAGTAACAGAGTATCAACAATTCTAAAAAAAGGTGCTTCATAAGTTAAGGAAAATAAAAACACAAAGCCTCAAACTTATCACAGAAGGCCCTCAGACTTATGAAACTAAACTGCTGTAATGTGGTACAGTGTTAAGACATAAATTTCCTTTTTTTTTTTAATTTATTTACATTCTAGAGGGGCAATACACACTGAACCCAGGAAAACAGCTCACCCTTGAAAGTAATTTTGAAAGAAATATTGACTTTGATTCATGCTCCTAACTCCCTACCAGTTTTGCTTCAAAAATAATTGTTCGTTCGGCAGAACAAAGTTCCCTCCCTTTCCTCCAGCCACTGAAAGCTTCACATTAGAAAAAGGCTCTCCTCTGAAATGTTTCTACCTATTCCTGTGAAATTGCAAATGAGTGGCATCTTGTTGGGACTTGAAAGCACCTGGCATGGTTGAGCGATAACCCAAAAGAGGACATGGTGTACAACTGACTGAGACAGACACAGACTGCCTTCCAATTCCCACAGAAAGCAAGGCAGGTCACTCTCCAAAAACCAACGGCCACAACAAACCCCTCTTTTATCCATTCCCTTCCTTCTTTCCATTCTTAGCGCTGGGCAGAGCGAATGAGGTTGGGTCCACAAAAAATAAGGTTAATAATAATAATTAAACAACAGCAACAACAACAACAGCAACAACAACAAAATAGGCGTCTCAATGTCTGAGGAAAAGTGGGATTGTAAGTGCAGTATTTCTTCATGTGCAGTTCTTGTACTTCATAGGAGTCCCCTTTGGATGAGAAGGCCTAGCGGAATGTGTGCTCCCCCCGGACTATGTGCGACGAGAACTCATAGCGGTCCTGGCTGCGGTAGCCACAGATGTTGCACTCCAGCGGGTCCCGGTAGCCGTGGCAGCCCATGTGGATGGTGTACATGACATGGTCCAGGAAGAGGACGCGACAGTGCTCGCACTTGAAAGCCCTAATCTGCTCCCCTTCTCCGTTGATCACCTTGTACATATCCTTGAAAGAGCCCTTAGAAGCTTTTGTGACATCCAAAGGCTTGGCCTCCTCCTTCACATAAGCCGGGTTTGGCTTTATCTTGGGGGTTAAGGCAGCGTTTCCTGGGTAGGACTGGCGGTCGTCGTGGCTGCTGTCTGAGTCAGTAGAATCCAGGCAGCTATTGCTGGGGGAGCCCTCTCTATCCTGGATTCGACTCTTTGGTCTGATGAGGGAGATGGGGCCATCCATGTTGTTCTCGTGGCTGTCGGCTGTTTCCCTGCTGATGGGCCTCTCTATCCTGCTGGGATGATAGACCTGAGCGTAAGCTGAGCTGATGACCGGGGCCACCTCTGCAATTGTGCTCGGTGTGTGCTGCATCAGGGGGTGAAGTGCCTCAGCTCCAAGGTAGGTGATTGCATTGGTGATGGCTTGGTCCATCATGTGAGACTGCATCAGCTCAGCCTCCTTCTCATAGCTTAAGTTCATATCAAAGGGGATATCTGGATAGCCAAATCTCATGAACTTTTCACCTAAGAGAAAAAAGCAAATGCGTGAGCAAAACCAACATAATCACTGCAATGTTTCATTGTAAAAGGCGTGGGAATGGACAGAAACCCCCTGATTTGGGGTGAAATTATTCCAGAGTCTAAAGTTAACCTCCTTCTAATTTATAACTGACCTCCTACAAAGTTCCTGTCCTGAAATGGGTAAAACAGTAACCTCACCAAGAGCTTTCTTTATGTTTTAAAATTTATTCCAGGTGGAACACGTGTCTGCAGCAACTTCCAGAGCAATTCCAAATCTTCAACTGGGCCCGACAGTGCCCACACTTCTAGTTAGGAAAAACATGTTAACTGGTACATAATGGATTGAAATATTGAGGCCACCACTGAAATTCTGATGGAGTACACCATTAGAAATACTCTCCCCAAAATTCAGGGGACCTTTTCACACGTCCCTCACAATCTGAGGTGCCTCACACCTACCTTACAACAGGGCTGCACAGTGAGAAACCAAAACAACAGGTACAGGGGGCTTGTTATGGAGGCACCTTTAGAGCCACAATATGTAAGTCCTTTAACTAGCAGAAGAAAACCCCAAATGTTAAATGAGAGCACATGGCCAAGAATGAAGAATGAAGCCATTTACAGGAGCAGTGGAGGCTGTTCTTTGCAGTTTTCCTCTCTCTCTCAAAAAAAAAAAAAGATTCTATCCTTTTTGGACTGAGAAAAAAAGACATACACCCCCCCCTCCCTTCCCAGTGTCTATTTAGGCAAGGAAACAAATGGAGAAACCACGTGTATAGCTTAGTTTCACTTGGTAAAAGGCAAAAGCACCTTTCATTGACATAGGATAAATTTATACATAATGATGCTGAGGCTTATTCATCACTGTGAATCCTAACTCACATGCTTGTAATGTTTTTACATCAATGGTGTGACAGATGTGCAAAAGCAGAGCCACATTCTGGCACATCATGGCAGTCACAGGGCACCATGTTATGCATCACATTATCTCTTTGGAGGTGAACAAATTGACCACTGCTTACAGCAGGGCTCAGCTCAGCAGCTCTGCTTTTCCAGTGAGGGCTTTGGAGTGTCAGGACAGACAAAGCTCGTGGAATAACTTCGTATTAAACAGAAAAGGTTATATATATATGATACAAGATACACATGCTCCTAAGTGGTCACACATGCAACTAGCTAGTTGTTGACAGCTAACTTTTAAAACTGACTTTATGAAGTCTGATAAATAATTTTGGTTGGTTTTCATTGCCTTTGTTACTTCACTTCCTTGGTACATAAAACCAGATTTTTTTTCCAGTAGCGTAAGTTAATAAATTCAAGAAGTCATTACTTACAAGTGGTTTGGCTACTCAAGAATTAAATTACTCAAGAAGCTTCTTCTATCACCTTTTGCCAAAATTGCTTGGAACACAATGTGTATAAACCACTATAAGAAACAGAACTGTAATCCCAAATCTCTTCCAAATTGCATTAGTACATTTCAACACAGCCATCACTCAGCATTTTATTTTTGACTATAATAATTCATTCCACTTAGTGTGACTTATTCTAAAGTGATGCATAGAGAACAACCATTGTCCTTAGAGATGATGCCTCACTCAGCTCTGATTATCAAGGTAATGAAATGTAGGTCTAAAGTGAAGTACATGAATATTCCTACTGTCTTCAGCAATAATGCTCACATGGCTGGACACATACCACGTTTGTGTACCTGTGATGTGTACTCAGCCATGGTCCTGGTAATCTAACATGACCTGTGGATGATTCTTGCCATCAGACGTCCTCTTTGCAGTGTTTTGCTGTGGTCTGGCAGTCTGTGATGGCTGTGCTGCCACAGACAGAATGGATTTAGCTCCAGCCTCCCATGAAACAGTGCAGCTCCTTCCCAAGTGGGACCAAGGGGCACCGAAGGACAGCTCCAGGAGACAAATGTGCCTGGTGCCCACTGGTGACTGTAACCTTCTCTGGCCAGCTGTGTCATTCTTGTGTTTGGATAAAGAGATGGACCTGGTGAGGGTCTGATCCAGCTGCCAAACACACTGTCAGTCCTTTGTAGGCTTTATAGATCAAGAAATATTACTCATCCTTTAAGGGCTACTTGAATAGATGATGCAAACCTCATTTTGATTCCTTTCATCATCCATGTTTAGTTACTCCAGCATAGACAGCAAGGAAAGCTGTAAATTGCCAGTGACCTGAATTATTTATTCCTTTAATTATGAACCAGTTCCAAAGATGTCAGAGCCTGAGAAATGGAGTGTGACATAAAAAAGTAAAATAAATGATAACATGGGAAGGAGAGGGTGTAAAACACAGAGCTCAGAAGTAACCAATAAATAGTCCAATAGACCAGTATGATGTGGTTTCCAAATTAAATTCCTCTTTAGCCAATTCTATACTTAAAATCAGCTAATCAGAGCAATCATTCTGAATTTTCATTTAAACTATGCTCAAAGTCTATTTATCTTTGCCCTACATTAGAGAAGTAAAAGAAAAAACATTCTCCCCTCTGGCCATATGACATTCAAATAAACCCCCAAACAGGTATTTGAATCAAGATCAAAGCACACAGACACAGCTGTCCTGTGATACCTATAGTCCATCTCATCAAGTATCTAAAGCAGCTGCAGTGCTGGACCCTTGGGAGAAAGCTACAAGAAACCTTGGAGAAAGCCATTCCAGCATTTCCCCCCGGGGAAGCTTCTCCCTGACCCCCATTAACCAGAAGCTGACTGTAATTTGGCAGCCGGCTGATCTTCATCTGTTCTGAGACGCCCGTGTATTTTTAATTCTTACTCTAACAACCACGGTCTTATCGTAAGCCACATAAATGTCTCCTTTTGCATCCTGCCAGTTCTTAACCCTGGTGACATTCTGAGAGCAAGCTCCCAATTCCAGCTGAAAAGACGTGAATCTGCTTCACATGACCAGCCTAAAGACGGCTGCTTTTAATTTAACTGGCGTCTGCCTCTCCCTCATTGACCAAGAAGCAAAAAAGAAGTGCTCACACTCCTGCACATCACAAACTCTACTTTTCTGCCTCCACTGTTTCAACTGGTTTGGTAAGACTAGAACCTCAAGAGCAGATATATAACCAAGTCTCTCATGCAGAAATGAATTCATTCTATTTGCTGTACGCTGCTTCCTTTCCTCCTGAAAATTCAGCCATAGGAGAGTCTGTGGTCCATAACCACTGTCCCTTGGAGATTGCTGATCAGAAAGAGCAGTAAAGCATTGATAGATGTAGCATGCAAAGATTTTAGCTTATGCTTACATGACCTTCTCATAAACACCATTAAGTTGTTTTGGACAGGTGCCACGCTTGCAGTATGCACTGGAAAATTTCCTGCAAGCAACAGAACCATTACACACTCTTCCTGACAGAGCTGAACAATATTTAATTGGGGAGAAAAGAGGAAGAAAAGTGAGGTCATGGTGGAGGGGAGAAGGAAAAAAAAACAAAAAAAGAAAGGCAGCCAAGTGAAGACTGCTGTTATACAATCTAAACACTGTGATGCCACTAAAGATAAGAAAAATAAGATATGGTAAATACGAAAGGGGGCATTTTTTCCTACATATGGATAGCGATATGTTACACTTATATTAAAAAAATTGGATTTACCTAACAGCAAAGTAGTATAACCTGCTGAAGAGTATAATAACGTGGTACAGCATCCCTCAGGCAAGGGTTTCCAATCAGTAAATTTACCTCTGAACATAAGAACAACATATGGTCAATGGTGCATGAGTGGACAAGTAAAATTACTTTTCTGGTCTAAAAATATAACAGCATAGGAAATACTGCTGTCTCCCAGGGCTCCCCCGTGGGATGGATCATTGCTGGCCTAATCTTGGCTCAGCACTGATTTTTGGGAATGGTCAGCTGACTGAGAGCAGCCAGGTCAGTGTGTCAGTCCCCCTGGGTGAGCTGCTGCACACTGCTGGCCCCCTGCTACTCCAAACCATGTGGCTTACTTACAGCCACCTTCAGGGGTGATTTAACAAATCCATCTGAATCTGCATTTAGCTGAGGGGCAACAACTTTTCTAAATGGCTGTGCTAATTGCTTACGGCGCTCTGATCTTCTCTGTAAGTGTCATCAGTGTTTGCAGAATGAGACACCCTTAAGCTCTGTGTGACTGCCCTTCCAGGGAGTGAGTGTGGAAAACGCCTGTTAGGTGACTTCAGAGCCTGACACTCACCCCAAACAATTCTCTCTTCCAGCTTCCCTCCTAAGAAGTTTTGCATGGCTTCAGCAGCAGTAAAAAGAAGTTTTAAGTTACAGCTCAAACCAAGTAAAATTCTCCATACTATCACCTGTTACAAGCTGAATAATTTTAATATGTCCAGACACAAAGCAAAATATGAATTCTTGACCTAGGACTCTAAATCTAGTAACCAAAAGCCACTCAATGCTGTTCCATATTCATGCATTAGTGAGTTTATTGTGTGCAAAGTGCTGCACTCAGAGCAAGAACTTCTTCCAACACAAGGGATGTGATTTACTTCCTCATGCCAGTATTATCAGACCAGTTGTTGCCAAGTGTCAGGAATTTAATACAAATTAGAAGTCTTGAGATACTTGTTGTTTGTTTCTTTTAACACATATGGAGACAGATAATTATATGACAGTCTTAGCTTGATTTTATTTTTGTTTTCGTTTTTCTTTCTGGAGCAAGGAGAGGGAAGATGACAAGTCTAAATCTCAAAAGGGCTAGAGAGAAGTTTAAAAAATGACAAACAAAACAGTAGTAAGTAAAAAGTTCAAGGTTTTGTGAGGCATTTTCCTGATAGTGGACTTCACTTTTGAATTCTCTGGACTAGTAAAGAGAATTCAATAATTATGATTTCTTGCTGTGATTTAACCACCTCCATTGTTGTACCAGAACAAGTTGTGAGAGTGCTACTTTTCCCCTAGTTCTTCTGGCTATTACAAATAGCACATAACCTATACCCATGGACTAAAAAGAATAAAAGGCTCATTTCCATCTTACCCACAAACTTCTGTGGGGTGGAGCTTTTACGCTTTCCCATGTTGCTTGTCAGCTTCTCTATAACAGCAGGTCTCTCAAAAGGCACCACAGAAATATTGTTGTCCATCACAGGCTCTTGTTCCTTACAATCTTCCAGAGCAGGTACTACACAAAAACAAAAAATGGTATCAGACAGGTCTGGTCTACACTTCACAGACAACACAAATCATTCGAGCCCTGCTGGCTGTGCAACAGGTACAGAACAACACAAAGAAAGGTGTGAGAACACTTTAGGCATAAAGACAGCAAGCACCTGCAAGCAGGGCCACATTCACAAAACATCTCTCCTCAGGAACATCTTATTTAGTAAGAACTTAACTTTAAGCATTTATAAAAGGGCTTGTTTTGTTCTGGACACTCAAGATCCCCAGTGAGGAGAGGACACTTTTCAAAACTCACTCTGTAGGTGACATTTTGTGTTATTCTCTCTTCAATACAGTCACCTGTCACCAATGTAAATCTTTAGTTATCATTCTTTGTGTATTCCCTTCACACCATGCATCATAATTTCTCTTTTTATTATCTTTTTGCACTTATTTCAATGATTAAAAATCACACAAGGGATTGATGAGTTGTGTTTGCTGGGCCTGGCTATGTGTTCCCTAAGACAAAGGGCTCTCAAATGAAGGATCAGTTTCTTAAAGCATATTTCCTCCCTTCACACCATAATGAGACTGTAAAATCAACACACACTGTACTGGAATTACAAGATTAACATCACATGGAAATTCCCTTCAGAATCAGACACAGAAACTACCCATTTTTTGATTAATATTTTATCCCCTCAAGCACAGATCTAGCAGTCTGCAAACAGAGGTTTTCTGCATCTTACTTCACATCATCAGGGATCAGGGCTCAGCAGGGAGCATTCCTGTGCTAACTACATCAGGGGGAATGCTCATACACTGTATTTGAGACAAAAACAAAAAATCAGTCACTTCTTCTGTCTTTACTCATTTCACTCTTGTGATTTTTTGGTTTAGGGAATAAGGTGCTAAAGGTAAAATGTAGGAATTGCATAAGCTTCTAACCAGAGTAGTGAGTCTCTTGCACAGGGTTTTATGCCACTTGCTGATACAGCCATTCTTAAGCACCTAAAAAGTACTTTGGTTTCGTTGAGCATCCTCTAACAATCAGTGGTACCAGACTGTGGACCAGGCCTGGAGAGTCCCAGTCATTTGCAACATATATCAAGTGTGTAGCTCTGCTCTGCTGCTAGTTTAGTTTAATACCAGGCCTAATTATCCTGCATTCATCTTCAGAAAGTAGCAAGAAAAACATGAAAGGGATCAGCCACTAGTCCATGAGTTAATGGGACGGTTGGGGCATAAAGAATGGATGGTAGAAAAACAGAAACTGGGGTGACCTGGCACAGAGTTCCTACAGTTTGTAAACTGGGAGGAACCCATTGCATTCTCTGTCTTAGACCAAGCTCCCAGAGAAGTGCTGGGTATTGCAGAGGTGGCAGAGAAGGACTGGCACCTTCCTGTTCTGCCAGCCCTCCTCCAGTCTCTCACCATGGCAGCCTTTTGTGTCACAGACACCTTCTCCCAGACAGTGCCATAAATGAACACCAGCAGCCCACTTTCCTCCCATGTAACTGCACTGCCTTCAGGATCCTGACATGGAATAATCACCCCCCTGCTCCTAAACACAGCTGTTTGCTAGCACATAATATACGAGAAATGGGGTGATAAAAGCCTTGTCTCTGCCTTCTTTCTAGTAAGGAAGAGCAAATACCAGGCAATTTAAATACAAAACAGAGTATCTGCTCAGGTGAACTTCTCAATTCAGACATCCATAATAAGAAAACATGGCAATTTATTCATTTGATTCCATTTGTGCCTCTGCTGCTATGGAAAGCTGAGTACTTTGAGGCTTAGAATCTACCATATGCTGTAAAATGATTTACTCTGCTGCTTTTTTATTTGTACAGGATGCTCCCCCTGAGAAACACAATGGTTTCTCATTTACAAGGCAGTCCTGCTGGCATCACTGAAAGGGAGGGGAAAAAAGCATAAATATGAAACGAATCTAATGTTGCAACAAAATGGGATGCAGTGTTCAAGTGACCTAATTAATGCCCAGTGCAGACTGGGAGGTCTGGAATACTTTAATAGCTAAGGCTAAAGCTTTAAGGTTAATTAAATACCGTGCTTGGTCAGGTCATCTGCACTACTCAAGTATTTACCAAGGAGATTTGGGAAGAAAGGAAAGATGATGTCTGCTGATTTTCACTGGGCACTGGCATCTGACTGTCCTTTTTGGCTTCCCCAAGCTCAGTGGATGCACAGGCATGCACACACAGTGTGAATCCCGGGATGTGACTGCCATGGGCCATGCCCACCTGGGTGCCACTTCAAGGATTTCCAGCCCTTAGTGCAGAGGACACACAAGGTGTGGTACTAGGAAGGTGCTCAATCCCTCCTAGGAACACCTGCTCGAGGAATCCTGAACCAGTTCAAAGCTCCAGATTATTTTAACAGCCATCTGAATAAGCCCCAAATGTAGTGACATTTGTATGGTCTTATAACAATTAAGTAATAATTAAATAATTCTGCTGCTGGGCATATGTGTGTAAAATTTCCTACACATAATTTGAAACCTTTCTTCCATGAAAAATGAATAGTGCTAAAAAAGACATCTGCTCTTCTCTAAGTCAGGCAAAAATCCTGCTTGGACTCATTTGAAAACTAAAATCATCAACAATAAAAGCATTTTCTTTTCCATCTTTCATGCTGCAGGTACTTTTCCCCACCTCAGAACCCAAGTCTATAATCCAAGGCACTTCTCTTTTGCAACAGAATCACTGAATCACACCAATATTTGTGTTATGACAGAAATACGTTACCAGAGTGTGTTTTGTTATGCAGATTTCCTGGGAGAAGGGAAAAAAGGAAATTGTCTGGTTTCTGAAACCATTTAAAGAGCAGACAGAACTGGACCAAACAGATGAGATTTCACATTTCAGAAACCCAAAAAGTTAAATATCACATTGACAATTCTAGATACATTATTTTTCATTTCAATTTTAAAACCACACAAATAAAGGACACATAGCCCAGCCTCAATTTTTTTAAGGAAAAAACAAAAGAAGAAAGGGGTAAACCAAACTGATCACACACAACTACCCGTGCTCAACAATCAGCTGTTCTGTAGTAGAAGCTCGTGTACACATTTACTCAGCAGTAAATGCAATTCCTTTTTTGTTGTAGTACATCCTACTTCATTACCTTGGTAGTGAGAGCAACCAAAGAACAGCTGACAGGATATAACTAGCTCAGATACAGCAACTCATTTTATGCTGAGCATTTACAGTCTCAGCTCAGGAAGATTTTTTTTTTTTTATTCTAAAAATCAAACTTCCAGCCCAGGAAAAGCCCACGCTTGAGTATGTTTTCTGTTCAGGGATGTTCTTCATCAGCTATCAGGGTTTGCCCATGGAAGAGTTCACCACCTCTGACACTGTCAATTCTCAATTGCAGTTAACACAAAGTGTTGTTTCTAAGCTTAAGCCCTCAATTCATAAACTTGGATAGTCTTCAGAACAGTCTTTCTTTTCCTGAAGACATTGTTTTTTCAGTCATAGGGAATATTTTTAACTTTTTACTTCTTAATTTGTAAGAAGTCACATGAACTATTAAAAAAGTTTATGCCGTACCAGCGAGGATAGAGTAGGGGGAAAAAAGAGAAGTGAAAAAATTACCCAGTGTATAATTTTTGTGTTTTGCTGATAAATATTTTGTGTGCAGACACCAGACACTGGGCTAAGCCTCAGCTGGTATAAATTAGTATTACTCCATCAACCTCAATTTCCTTTCTGAGGCTCACAATATTGCTATTTAAAAGAAGTGTGTGTGTGCAGAGAAATGACAGGAAATATTCCCATGGACCCTGGTGGGAAGTGTCCTGTGGGACCAGCATTTTAACGATGTTTTAAGCAACTATGTAAGAGGGAAAGACACAAGGCCATTGTGTGTTTTATGTGGAGCTGGCCTTTGAGCCTCACACAGCCTAGGGCTAGGCTTCTTTCTCCTTCTCCTGAAAAGAGTACCCTTCTCCATTCCCCTGGAAGAATTTTTCTGGACTATTGGCTTTGTGGCAGTGGAGAAGAAGACATAACTGGGTGTAAACCATAGCTAGCCTTCAACATTTCTCCCTGCTCTTTCCTGCAAAGGTCATGTTCTTGGCATTCAGGGACTGTCCCTTTTGTCACCTCCCAACACACTGCTAGCTAGGAGACTGCAGACTAATTTCTCCTTCCAGAGCCAGCACTGCTTAGCTGAAAACTTTCAACAACAAAATCATGGGATCTCTCTTGCAGCATCTGTCCTGCTGAGCAGGGAACAGGAACACAAGGAGGGGCAGCTCAACAAGCAACTGGCACCCTGCAAGAGGATGGAGCCTGACCCAGAGATTTGTACATTCCTACCCACCCCCCAAAACTAGCCCTCCTTCCTCCTCTCTTTCTTCCCCTTGTGGCTTCAGTCAGGTGATCTAGCCATCTGCAAGACAGAGATAATTGAAAGCTCCAAAGTAGATGTCCGTGGCATGCCTGTAAACTGAAGGGCTTGAGCACAATGCTTGAAAAAAATCCAAACCCTCTAGGGGCTGCTTCCAGTTTTCTGGAACAATTAGTCCCTGCAGAAATAATTTGGATCAATGCTTATTGTTGGCCAATGCTGGTGCTGTTAAAGCAGGAGGAGCAGGATGCTGGTGGGGATAAGAAAATCCCCATGTCTCCCTGTTCTGTGTGCAATGGTGAAGTTGTGAGCAGGAGTCACACCAAAATGCACTCCAAGGCTTCAAAACGCTCAACACAAACAGAACACCAAGTATTTGGAAAAAGAGTCAGGAAGGCTCAACCTCAGTGGGATGCAAAATAAAAGTCTCCAAAACATACTCTTAGTCATCTTCAGGAATATAATTTCCATGTGTGACATGGGAGACACGGAAATTAATCCCATTTTTTCAGGGTTAGTGTAAGGCCTTACATTAAGCCAAGTGATCATTTTTGTACTCTTCCCTGGTGTCTTTATAGTCCCGGGAAAAAGGTCTTTGCTGCAGACCTCTACAGGTTGATGCTCATGACCCTCACGATGGGCTTCACAGGTCTGAGTGATGCTGGGATGTGAGCTGAGATTTATTACTGGCCCCAGCTGAATCTGGAGCTCCCTGTTGCTGCCTGTCCTCGCTGTGCCCTCACTAAACAACTAAATGAAGACAGTGGATCAAACATCCCCTTAAACATTCACCAGGGGAGGCACAGACATATTTGCCCGGAGGAAAAAGAGGCACTAGCTGAATTCAAAGTGCTGCTTTAAGCTAATTTTGTTGAGAAAAGTGAAGTGGTTGTGTGAACACTTCTATTTTAAGCCCAAGCAAAGTCAGTCAAGCTGTAAATAAAAGAACTGTCCACATGGGATTTGCACTGGTTTAACTTCAGGTGGTAGAAAAATCAATGCAAGGTCAATCACTGCAGCTTCTTTGGGCAGACAAGGTTAAGGACTTACCCTTCTTGTCGTGGCATTAGGCAGCTTAGAAAAAGCTTTAGATTTCCTCAGAAATTCTAAATATTTTAATTCATAATTTTAATAAAAAGCCATCTAATATACCCAGACATTGAACAGCATTGGGGAAGCTCCTCCTCAACAGGATCTCCAACATCCTGGCTGCCATAGCTATGGGCAGCCTCCTGTTAATCCCTAAGGAAAGGCTGAGTGAAGGCATCCCTCCCAGGTTAACAAGCCAGGCACAAGGAGTGTGTATTTTGGTGGCAATCAATTCAGTGGTTCAACTCCTGCCTAACTGACCATGCCCACAACAGGTACCTCCAAAGGGCAAAGCCCTGAAATCTGCCTGCTCACTGATTTTTACCACAAAAAAGCCACCTCAGGCACATAATCACTTCAATATCTTTAAAACATCCATGACATTTTAAATGTTGACTTTAGTCTCCAGGGTGTCTACAAAGAGAGCAATTACTTAACAGAGCTGTATGAATATTTTGGCAACGTGTACTAAAACTGTCTTATGTGCCTTTATAGGCTTAAATTGGTCATGGGAAAGTACTATTTAAAAAGTTTGGAGATTTCTGTCACCAGAATACAGCCTATGAATAGATTTGATTTCAGCTTGCATTTTAAGTTTTAAAAAATTATTTTACAGAAATAATTTTCAGATGAAGCCGTATGATTCCACTCAATCATGATAAGCAAAATGGAAAAAAAAATTGGAAGTGTTCTTTTGTATTTTCATTTACCCACAAGCTACCTTTTTTTTTGTATTTGTAGGTATATGGTAATTTTTAATCAAAATGGAAAACATATTGGTTTTATATTTTCTGAATAATAAAAAATGTTAAACACTTCAAGTACCAAACATCTAAAGACAACTTTGAAAAGTTAAAAGAAGTTCAGTTTTAGAAGAGTTTGTGAGACACTAATTTTGAATAAAGTTATAATCATTTTTGGACAGCTACCATTTAGCATTTAGTGCTACAGATAAGCCTTCAACCCTGCAGTCTGAGACATTATGCTCATTATCCATACTAATAGCTCCAGAAATTTCTGAAAAAAAATTCACAGAGTTTGACATTTCTTGCTTTCAACAATCTTTTTGGCAATCTTCAGTCCTTATGTATATTAACACATGCAGTGTTAACTAACATATTAATACCAGCAAATGTAAATGCATACAAACACTGTTTTTGTTACAATTACTTTCCTCCACACTGTTGAATTCCATGCTGCTCTAGAGATTTTTACATCCATCCCTCCCTTTTTTGGAGGGATAAGAAAATATTAGAGAGGGTAGAAATAATGATTTCTGAATACCTCTGCCATGCTTATCTTTTCTAATTATCACTCACTATCAGAAAGGAAGGGGAAGAGAATCATACATTTTATACATGCTTTGACTCCCAAGATATAAAGGACATGGAGCTGTTGGAATGAGTCCAGAGGAAGCCTCGGAGATGCTCCAGGGGCTGGAGCTCCTCTGCTATGGAACCAGGCTGGGAGAGCTGGGAGTGTTCACCTGGAGAAGAGAAGGCTCCAGGGAGACCTTAGAGCCCTTCCAGTGCCTAAAGGGGCTCCAGGAGAGCTGGAGAGGGACTTGGAACAAGGGAGGGAGGGGGAAGGGACAGGTGAATGGCTTCCCACTTCCAGAGGGCAGGGATAGATGGGATATTAGGAAGAAATTCCTCCCTGTGAGGGTGCTGAGGCCCTGGCACAGGATGCCCAGAGAAGCTGTGGCTGCCCCATCCCTGGGAGTGTCCAAGGCCAGGTTGGATAGAGCTTGGACCAATCTGGGATAGTGGAAGTGTCCCTGGATATGGCAGGGGAGTGGAACTGGATGGACTTTAAGGACCCTTCCAACCCAGACCATTCTATGATTCTATGATATGACTTTTGGGTAATTTTGAACAGGTCACTTGGCTTTATTTTCATGTCTGCATATGTGCACATACTAAAAAGTGAAGTACTGACTTAAACAAAATAAGCACAAATAGGGATGTTAAACTGGACAGAACGAGAATTTTAGCCCATCCCTTCTCCTCTTGCCTCTCTGAGTGTAAGCAACCTCAAAGACGAAAGGAAGGAAGAAAAAGAGATGGAAAAACCACGCGCACGAGATGCTGGCGGCCCCAGGGAGCTCTGGAGGCGGCGTGCACCCACCATGGTGACTCATGACCTGCCCAGCAGCCTCCAGACTGACATTCTGCAGATAGTTGTGGCAGCGTTCCTTGTGCTCCTCCAGAGAACTGCGCTGCTTGTAGCTCCGGCCGCAGTAGTTGCACTTGTGAGGCTTCCCCACTGCGGAAAGAATGAGAGCACGGGGTCAGATCAAGCTTCTGCCATCACCAAACTCACACCTCCGCCACAAACAACTCTTGTGATGGAAAGACACCTCAGCAAGGTTACTCAAGCCCCTGGCCTTCCTCCCAGCCCCATTTTCCCACCGCACACGCCTCCTCCCACCGGCCGGGTGCTTTGCCCCGTCCGTTTCTCACACCAACGAACGCTGTAGCTGCCTTGGTGGCAAAGCAAATAAACAGATGTTGAGAGGGGGAAAATACCAACCAGCTGAATCACACCCCAGCACCGAGTCTCTTGGGAAAAAAACCTTCTGAGGCCTTTGGCCCATGGCACAGTTGCTTTCATAAAAATGAGCTGCCCCAGTGGCCTAATTCTTCTCCCAACTGCGGGGAAACCTATTACGTGGCTCAGAGGAGTTATTTCATTGAGAATGCTTTGCCAAAATTACTCAGGGAGGGTTGGAAAATAAATTGAAAGTAACTTTGGTAACAGCACTGTTACATGCCAGAACTGAACAACCACCAGTAATTCAGAGACCAGATAATATAAAAAATATATTATATAAATATATATACATAAAAACACAAAAGGCCATGTACAATGAAAATCAAGCCAGATGAATGCAAGACGTAACTCAAGTTTTTCATCTTTTTCATTTTGCTCAGAAGCATTAAACACAAATAGCAAATGCTTCTTAATACACGCAAAACCTGGCACCAAATTCTCATAAATTATATCCATTTCATAGTATGTCATTAAGAAACCACAAGAATGGCCTAGCCCAAGGCCAGAAAGCTAGCCAGAAGGTATTTTGCCAAGTGGTGCTAATAAAGGCTTTTAATATAATTTAAACTTGTAGAACATGAACATTTATCCTCTAATAACTAAAGAGCTATTAAGTCAGTGCTGCAAGTCTAGTAAAATACCATCAGCTGCAAACTTCAGAGCTGGCTGAGGGAAGGGGAAGGTCAAACTTCTTCCAAAGTTTTGAAAATCTTAGGTAGGAATTTTAGTTTCTGGCCAAAGCAATTGAGAACATCCTCTGTTGGGTAATCTACATGTTTCTATTGGGTTTGTCCCAATATTGAAAGCTTTTCACAGTCATTTACTTAATGAAATCTGAGCTGTTCTAATTGCAGCCAAACTGCACTGTCACCATTGGGATGGGAAAATGCAGGGAAGCTGTGGGGGGGGTGGGACAGGCACGGCCAAGAATGAGCTGGGCAGAGGACTCAAACATAAAAATCCCAGGTCAGGGCAACTCTCAGGTCTTCAGCAGGACCAGCACATGCCACATCATATAATGGAAGAAGAAAAAGCCTGAGCCTGTGGTATCAGAGCTGGTCCAACATTTTCAAATGTTTCTGTCTCAGAACAAAGGGATTTGATGAAAAGAACACGTTTGCAGAAAGCTTCGGGTTTTCCCAAAAAGTTTGTGAGCACATTTTAGTAGTGCAACCAAGCTCTCCACCAAGGGGAAAAAAAACCCTGCTTCTAGTAAGTATCCAAACTGTGGATTTCTTTGTTTCAAGATAAAGCTTATCCTCAAAGTTGTCTCAGACCAAAGAGTTGCTGTGGCCCTTCCTTTAGTTTGCTCACTTGCTTACACTGTTGCCATAACTGATGCTGGTAATGGAATTCTCAGTGGAGGCCCAGCGTGAGACTCATTATCATTCCCGGAATAATTGCCCTTGATGTGAACGATCTGGATCGAGTCTCAGCTCTTAAACATAAACCAGCCAGTTCATTCTGGAGGCACTTTTAGGAAAACACACCAGAGATTCCCCAGGTTGGAGAGATTTCTATAATCACCATTACAATGCTTCATCGTGCATCTAAATGGCATCAATGTCTGTCAGTCTGAAACTTTCAATAGAAGATAATGTGGTGTCTAATAAAAAAATCCAGTGCAATGGAAAGAAATATGTTAACTGAGATGAAGCAGGGCTGAATTAGCCCACCCAGTTTGGCTACACAAAGCTATCGAGCAACTTAGATAAACTGTAAGACACAAAGAAAAGGGATGATTGCTTGCAGCTATTTTAGGCAGCTACAATTAATTACATTATTACCATTTAACACAGAAAGAAATATCCGGCTACAAGCTCTTATTATAAACAATTAATAATTAACAGTCAAAAAGGAGGTTTTATTAGACCTCTTCAAATGGTTGTTCCCTGAATTGCAGCACTGAAGTAACTATTCACATACAACATGGGCAGAGCTTTTCCAATGATATCTCAGATGGTCAGCTACCCAAATTCCATCAAATCTGAAGGTTAATAGAGTCGATAAAAGTTAATGATAAAGACATGATTTCTACAGGCAATATGGGATTTGAGGAAAATAATTCCTCAAGGAAAGAAACAGGCCCAGTATATACGATCCTTTCTCTCGGGGAAGGTAAGAGAATAAACAACATTGGCAAATGTTGGTCATGTTGCTTAAAACACAACTGTGAAGAATGAAATTTGTGAGTGCCAGCTAGTAGTATCAAACACAACTCCCTTGGGTTCATTTCCCAACACTGTCCCCCCTGGCTCTAGAGATGTAATCACATCATAGCCCCAAAGGTGTAAAATCTTACACTGTAAAATTACACAGAGATTTACACTATAAAATTACACAGAGTCACTGCAACTTGTAGTAAAGAGCAATCGATCAGGTCAGACCACAATGGAATCAGTTCTGATAGCAGGAGTTTGTGTCACCAGCAATTCTCACAGTCCTTTTGGTAAGAAGTTCAGTGAGCTGAGGCAGCAATTACAGTCAACATTTTAGAAATTGTATCATTGTGACAAATGTCAAGGCACTGAAATAGCTGCAAATATCCCCTTGTATTCTCAAAGAAGTTAATGATAAAAAAAAAAAAATGGAAGTGAATGTTGGCAGTGGGTGTACATTTCTATGTATTTCATATTACCTGACAGAAAGCTGCAAAAGCCTTTTAGAGAATTCAATTTCAGTGATAATCTCAACAGCGTACTTTGTTCCACATAACAACCCGACATGAAACCACATGACTGACAAAAAAGATTTCAGCCTTTGTCAAATACTTGAGAGTAGGAAAACAGCAATATTCAAAATTTGCCCCCAAAACATGGAGTTCACAGTGCTGGGCATAAGCAGTCTCTGACTAAAGGGCATTGATTTGAGGGTAAGGAGTCCAATAGCACTACACCTACCAAACCCCTCACAAAACCCTCACTAAAGACAGGTCTTTCTGGCACAGAAATAAACATTTCTACCACATTTTCACAGTGAAACTGCTCCAAGCTTGCTTGATTTGAAGCTGCCTTCTCCAAGATCCGCACATACGTGGAGGCCATATTCGGCATCGTACATACCCAGCCCTTGCCAAGAAAAGTCAGGCTGGAAATCCCTGGTTTGGGGTAATTATTCTGTTATCAGCTCTTCAGGATCAACAGTCAGATAAAAAAATCACTGTCACTTTTTCTCACAAAAATGACACGGCACAGTCAATGCAAACAAGACCAAAAAATGTGAGAGATCTTCGATCTGTTGTTGAACCGGGAAAGACCAGAGCGCTGGGCAAAACCCCGCGGCCACACCTATGAAACAGCTAACTTGAAGAACATAAAAAACCCACTTTAGATTTCTTACTGAAATGTCAGAATTTCCACGCATTTAAGCTCAGATTTGGACAGATGACAACATGGCACAGAAAACCCACGGTGGAATCTCAGCCTCAAATGGAAAATATTATGACAGTCACAGTGAAAAAGACATTTAAATTTGAAGTACAATTTTTTACCCTGGAAACAGGTGAACGGCTCGTTGAAACTCACAGCAAAATGGATTTTGGTTGTGAAATTAAAATGCTCATGTGGAGGAAGGAGGGGAAAGAGGAGGAGGACATAAAAGCAAGGTGTTTCTGAGTTACAAATACTTTGAGTCCTGTGGGTGAACTTTGATAGCTGAGAAGTCTGCGTGTAGTGACAATGAGATGGTGTAACTCTAAGGTCAATACTCAAGACAGAAAGCAGACTTGGGCCCAGGGAAACTTCTTTACAGTCATGAAAAAAGGTCAGTGAAAGAGAAAAAGCCCGCAAGGCATCCACACAGCATTTTGCTCTCAAAAGAGAGGGGAGTGAATAGCAGAATATAAAATAAGTCAAAGGGAAACAACAAGGCATCCCAGGTACCACCTTGCCATAAGCATATAAAGCAAGAAAGGCTTATGGAATGGGTTCAGAGCTGCAATGCACTTTAGTGAGCTAAAATCCTGCCTCCCTGAAGAGCACTGACACTACACTCCCTGGTTTGGGTAGCACATTGTCCCCTGCAGCAATGCAGAGCAGAATTCCTCCCTGTCCTTTTGCTCAGGTCCATGGCCACAGCTGGAGCACTCCCATGTCCTGCTCAGGCAGGGCTGGGCATTGCTGCCTGTGTGATGTGGGCTGGCCCAGTCCAAGGAGCAGAGGCTTTGCCCCACATTTCCATTTCTTTTTCTCTATTGCCCTGGCCAGACCATGCAAGTGGAGCAGTATTTTTACACTGCATGGCCATCCAACACAGCTACTTTTGGCTCAGACCAAGAGACCCTCTGACAGCAGTGCACTGAGTGGGACTTATTTCTGTAAAATCTGAACTCCTGCTCAGCCCCTAGCACCCCAGAGCTGGAGCAAACATCAGTCATCTCTGACTGAAGCTTTCTGGAGCAGCATTAAAGCTAAAATGTTCTTTTGAGCTGATACTTCACAGAATCACAGAATGAGCTAGCTTGGAAAAGACCTTTGAGATCATCAAGTTCAACCTATGACCAAACCCCACCTTATCAACTAAACCATGGCACTGAGTGCCAAGTCCAGTCTTTTTTTAAACACCTCCAGGGACAGTGACTGCACCGCCTCCCTGGGCAGCCCATTCCAATGCCCAATCATTCCTTCTGTGAAGAATTTTTTCCTAATGCTCAGCCTAAACTTCACCTGGCAGAGTTTAAGGCTGTATCCTCTTGTCCTGTCAGTGGTTGCCTG